GTTCTTTCCAGGGAGCCTGCCCTGGTGAGTTTTTGGGGTGTTTAGGCACAGTCTCACAATTCCGTCCCTCCAGCAACCGGTTTGTTTTCTCTATCAGGATTCCCTGGAAGATTTTATTTGAAGAGAGAGTTTAAAGAGAGGCTGATAAAATAAAAGTTTGGAAAAAATAAATTTTCTTGAGAAGATAAACAAAATAGATAAACCATTAGCCAGACTCATCAAGAAAAGAAGGGAGAAGACTCAAATCAATTGAATCAGAAATGAAAAAGGAGACGTAACAACTGACACTGCAGAAATACAAAGGATCATGAGGGATTACTACAGGCAACTCTATGCCAATAAAATGGACAATCTGGAAGAAATGGACAAATTCTTAGAAATGCACAAACTGCCAAGACTGAATCAGGAAGAAATAGAAAATATGAACAGACCAATCACAAGCACTGAAATTGAAACTGTGATTAAAAATCTTCCAACAAACAAAAGCCCAGGACCAGATGGCTTCACAGGCGAATTCTATCAAACATTTAGAGAAGAGCTAACACCTATTCTTCTCAAACTCTTCCAAAATATAGCAGAGGGAGGAACACTCCCAAACTCATTCTACGAGGCCACCATCACCTTGATACCAAAACCAGACAAGGATGTCACAAAGAAAGAAAACTACAGGCCAATATCACTGATGAACATAGATGCAAAAATCCTCAACAAAATACTAGCAAACAGAATCCAACAGCACATTAAAAGGATCATACACCATGATCAAGTGGGGTTTATTCCAGGAATGCAAGGATTCTTCAATATACGCAAATCTATCAATGTGATTAACCATATTAACAAATTGAAGGAGAAAAACCATATGATCATCTCAATAGATGCAGAGAAAGCTTTTGACAAAATTCAACACCCATTTATGATAAAAACCCTGCAGAAAGTAGGTGTAGAGGGAACTTTCCTCAATATAATAAAGGCCGTATATGACAAGCCCACAGCCAACATCATCCTCAATGGCGAAAAACTGAAAGCATTTCCACTAAGGTCAGGAACAAGACAAGGTTGCCCACTCTCACCACTCTTATTCAACATAGTTTTGGAAGTTTTAGCCACAGCAATCAGAGAAGAAAAGGAAATAAAAGGAATCCAAATCGGAAAAGAAGAAGTAAAGCTGTCACTGTTTGCAGATGACATGATACTATACATAGAGAATCCTAAAGATGCTACCAGAAAACTACTAGAGCTAATCAATGAATTTGGTAAAGTAGCAGGATACAAAATTAATGCACAGAAATCTCTGGCATTCCTATATACTAACGATGAAAAATCTGAAAGTGAAATCAAGAAAACACTCCCATTTACCATTGCAACAAAAAGAATAAAATATCTAGGAATAAACCTACCTAAGGAGACAAAAGACCTGTATGCAGAAAATTATAAGACACTGATGAAAGAAATTAAAGATGATACAAACAGATGGAGAGATATACCATGTTCTTGGATTGGAAGAATCAACATTGTGAAAATGACTCTACTCCCCAAAGCAATCTATAGATTCAATGCAATCCCTATCAAACTACCACTGGCATTTTTCACAGAACTAGAACAAAAAATTTCACAATTTGTATGGAAACACAAAAGACCCCGAATAGCCAAAGCAATCTTGAGAACAAAAAATGGAGCTGGAGGAATCAGGCTGCCTGACTTCAGACTATACTACAAAGCTACAGTAATCAAGACAGTATGGTACTGGCACAAAAACAGAAAGATAGATCAATGGAATAGGATAGAAAGCCCAGAGATAAACCCATGCACATATGGTCACCTTATCTTTGATAAAGGTGGCAGGAATATACAGTGGAGAAAGGACAGCCCCTTCAATAAGTGGTGCTGGGAAAACTGGACAGGTACATGTAAAAGTATGAGATTAGATCACTCCCTAACACCATACACAAAAATAAGCTCAAAATGGATTAAAGACCTAAATGTAAGGCCAGAAACTATCAAACTCTTAGAGGAAAACATAGGCAGAACACTCTATGACATAAATCACAGCAAGATCCTTCTTGACCCATCTCCTAGAGTAATGGAGATAAAAACAAAAATAAACAAATGGGACCTAATGAAACTTCAAAGCTTTTGCACAGCAAAGGAAACCATAAACAAGACCAAAAGACAGCCCTCAGAATGGGAGAAAATATTTGCAAATGAATCAACTGACAAAGGATTAATCTCTAAAATTTACAGGCAGCTCATGCAGCTCAATAACAAAAAAATAAACAACCCAATCCAAAAATGGGCAGAAGACCTAAATAGACATTTCTCCAAAGAAGATATACAGACTGCCAACAAACACATGAAAGAATGCTCAACATCATTAATCATTAGAGAAATGCAAATCAAAACTACAATGAGATATCATCTCACACCAGTCAGAATGGCCATCATCAAAAAATCTAGAAACAATAAATGCTGGAGAGGGTGTGGAGAAAAGGGAACACTCTTGCACTGCTGGTGGGAATGTGAATTGGTTCAGCCACTATGGAGAACAGTATGGAGGTTCCTTAAAAAACTACAAATAGAACTACCATATGACCCAGCAATCCCACTACTAGGTATATACCCTGAGGAAACCAGAATTCAGAAAGAGTCATGTACCAAAATGTTCATTGCAGCTCTATTTACAATAGCCCGGAGATGGAAACAACCTAAGTGCCCGTCGTCGGATGAATGGATAAAGAAGATGTGGCACATATATACAATGGAATATTACTCAGCCATAAAAAGAAACGAAATTGAGCTATTTGTAATGAGGTGGATAGATCTAGAGTCTGTCATACAGAGTGAAGTAAGTCAGAAAGAGAAGGACAAATACCGTATGCTAACACATATATATGGAATTTAAGAAAAAAAAATGTTATGAAGAACCTAGGGGTAAAACAGGAATAAAGACAGAGACCTACTGGAGAACAGACTTGAGGATATGGGGAGGGGGAAGGGTGAGGTGTGTTAGGGCGAGAGAGAGACATGGACATATATATACTAACAAACGTAAGGTAGATAGCCAGTGGGAAGCAGCCGCATGGCACAGGGAAACCGGCTGGGTTCTTTGTGGCTGTCTGGAGGGGTGGGATAGGGAGGGTGGGAGGGAGGGAGACAAAGAGGGAAGAGATATGGGAACATATGTATATGTATAACTGACTCACTCTGTTATAAAGCAGAAACTAACACACCATTGTAAAGCAATTATACCCCAATAAAGATGTTAAAAAAATAAATAAATAAATAAATTTTCTTGGACAAAATAAAAGGCTTATCTTGCAGAAGTTGCAGAAAAAGAATGTTTTAGAAGTCAGGAAGGCAGATGGAAAATATGCCGGCAGTTAGATATATGGAAGGTCTTCTATGTATAGGCCATGACATACCCAGGATTTATTGAGGAAGTAGAAGGGGTTATTTTTCCCAAGGTTTACAGTTTAGTTGAATACCTTGCACAGTGTACGTGGAAAGAGATGAGAGGCATATAGGAATCAGAAAAGAATTGAGAGAGGCAAGGATACATGTTAATAATGCAAATGAATTGGGCCATGCGGATAAACTCCCAAGTATCCTATGAGTCCTTTTTAGTCCTCAGCAGACACAGTACCTTTACCATCACCCATAATTCAGGCTTTGAAGAATCAGGGCTGATAGGAAGGTAGGATTTTTCAGGAAGGCTAAATGATGGTATAAGAGAATTGTTCAAGGATTAGTATTTAGTTATTTATCTTCCATTTGAAAAATGCTTATCTTCCACTTATTTGTCTAGATTTTAGGAAAATTCTCAAATCTCTGTAGAGTTTGCAGACTGATGCTCTGACTAGCTCTTTTGATGTGTTTTCTTAAATATTATTCCTAGTAACAATCTATGTAGCCTTTTTAATACCTCCAGATTTGTTCTCAAGCCACTGATAAGATGATCTCATTGTCTTTTGAAGTGCCTTATGGGGCATTTATCACATAAGAAAGTCCTCCACATGGAGGGATATCATTGGCTGTTGGCTTCAGATTCTTTTTAGATGGCAATTGGCCGATAACTACTACCAGGGACGCTGGCCTTGGTGGATGGGATGGGACTATGGACAACAGAGAAAGTGGGAAACTGGCTGGTTGTTTAGGAAGGTTATATGCAAAGCCCCTTTGTTGTTTTGCCCCTTTCAGCTACTTAGACATGTCCCAAAGAGTTCAAGATGCCCATTAAGAATGAAAGTATAGGGCTTCCCTGGTGGCGCAGTGGTTGAGAGTCCGCCTGCCCATGCAGGGGACACGGGTTCATGCTCCGGTCCTGGAAGATCCCAAATGCCGCGGAGCGGCTGGGCCCGCGAGCCATGGCCGCTGAGCCTGCGCGTCTGGAGCCTGTGCTCCGCAACGGGAGAGGCCACAGCAGTGAGAGGCCGGCGTACCGCAAAAAAAAAAAAAAAAAAAAAAAAAGAATGAAAGTATAAATTATACATTTCTTGTGCCTCTGTGGGATGGGCAGTCAAGGGTTCTTCTGGGCTTGAGAGAGGTTCAGGCACATGTAAGTGCAGTCAGATGTGTAAGGCTCTTGGTGCTCTGCTCTCAGCATAATCTTTGTTAACACTAATTTTCTCTGTTCTATGCGGGTGAATTAGAATTTAGTCCAAGGTGTATCTCTGTCCCCTTAGGACCAGGAGGTCCTTGCCTTGCCTCAGTGATTTAGCTGTGCTCTCCCTGTTCTTCTGACCTCACTTCCCTTTTGTTTTAAGTCTTTGCTTTTTTTTTCTCGATCTCCACTTTTATGTTTCTGGCCTTAGGTTAAGTCACTAGGCCCATACCCAGTTAACTCCATAAAAACCATTCAGTGCAAACGTCCAAAGCCCTTTCCCAGCACCCTGCCTCCCCTAGTTTCAGTTATTCAGGTATTTCGCATCTCTAAGGCCTGGGAAACAAATGCCACTGATTCCGCCCTAGGGGCCAGTGCTCTACAGCACCTGCAAAACTTTTACCTTAGGGTTTCCCCAGAGGAGCCCCTCCTCTTCCACAGGTTGACCAGGCTGCTGGATCTGCTGGCTGCCGAGGAGGACTTGCCATCCCCCACGTGCATGCGCACCACCGTGGACGTGGTGAAGGCGCTGCGCACGTTTCTCTCTGGTTTGGCCAGGATGATGTATACTTTCGGCACAAACATGCAGCCGAGCGCCACTGTGGCGCTGAGGCTGACTGAGAAACACATGGTGATGATTTTGTAGTTGCTGCCAAAGTAGATGGGCACAAAGGCCAGCCATATAATGCAGGTGGTGTACATTGTGAAGGCGATATACTTGGCCTCGTTGAAGTTGGCTGGAACATTTCTGGTCTTGAAAGCATAGAAGGTACAGCTCAAAATCAGCAATCCATTGTATCCAAGAGGAGTGACAACTCCTAGGTTGGTGGTGTTACAAATCAGGTAGACTTCTCGAATGCTTGGGTAGTCGTGCATTATGTCGGGAGGCTCCATTATGAAGAGGGCGATGATGATGCCCAGCTGGATGCATATGAGAATGAAAGCAATCACTAGCTGGGCACAGGCACTCATGAATCTGGGCTTTTTGGTACAGATCTTCTTCTTGCTGCCAGCCAGGATCCTTGCAATACGATTGGTCTTGGTTACAAGGGCTGAATAGCTCATGGCTGGGGAGAGACCGATGCCTATTCTCTGAAGGTAGCAGTAAATCTGTTTGGGCTTTGCAATGAGGCAGAAGGTACATAAGTAGCCCAGGCAGATGCCAGCAAGGATAATGTAGCAGAGTTCCCTGCTGGAGGACTTGACTACTGGTGTATCACGGTAAATGATGAAGACTGCGGTGACAAACAGGGTGGCTAGCAGGCCAAGGCAGGCAAACACCACAGCTGCAATGGGCTCAGGGTCACCCCAGCGAAGGTACTGTACTGGGATCAAATCACAACCTGCAGAGACACAGACACATATTGAAAAAGAAGGAAGAAATATTGACTTGGGTCACTTGTGCCTAAGTTGTAAGCAGGTGCCCATGATCCTTCGAGTTTGTCTCCAGTCTACCCTTCTAAGCTCACTATCCCATACTGCTCCTTTCTTCATATATTCAGTCATAAAATATTTATCTTTAGATTATCAAATATATACTCTGTGACAGGAGCTGTTCTAGGTTCTGAAAACAAAATGATGAAGAACATATTCCCTGTCCTCCAAAAAAAAAAAAAAAAAAAAATGGGGGGGGGAAATGATTTTTTAATGTATACTAATCATTTATGATTACTTTTCTGTGAATTTTCTGCACATCTACTTTTCATTTATAATAGCTCATTGTGGGACTTCCCTGGCAGTCCAGTAGTTAAGCCGCCATGCTTCCATTACAAGGGGCAAGGGAAAAAAAAAAAAAAAAAAATTGGTGGGGGTAACGGGGACTTTTATAGAATTACTTACAGGTGGGATAAGGACCATGAAGGAGTAGAGCATGGACCTTGACTCAGTCTGTGGGAACGGTAAAATCTCCTTCAACGGGAATTAGCAAATGCAAGAGTTGTGGTTTGGCTGAATTTGTGGATTTGGCAGGTTTGGCAAATAGAAATTAATTGTAAGGAAAGAGCTAGGGGGCATTGGAGGCATGAAAGGAGGTTCTGTACAGTAATGTGATGAGTGGCCTAAGATAAGTCTGGAACGTAGGCAGGAGGGGATCTTGCAGGGCAGAGAGTCTTAGATCAATGGGAAGTCATTGGAGGGATCTATGTAGAGTAAGAGGAATCATATGGTCAGATTTGTGTGCGTGTGTTTTAAACATTATTTTGGTTGCTGTGTGGATTTTGGATGAGGTAAAGGTGTAGAGAGATTTGAGAAATATTGGAAGCGATATAGGCTGTTTAAATGCATGTGGGGATATGTGAAAGACAAAGGCATCAAGGATGACCAACATTGGTCCTTGAATCCACTGCAAAAAAACATGACAATTTGGCGTCATTTGGGTTATGTGCCTTCCTTTTAAATTTCTTTAGGGCAGTGATTCTCAAACTTGGCTACACACTGGAATCACTTAGATATTTTTAAAAAGTACTGCGGCCTGGGTTTCAGTGCCAGAGTTTCTGATTTCATTGGCCTGGGTATCAGGATTTTTAGAAGGCACTCTAGGTGCTTCTAAACTTGCAGGCAGAGTTGAGAACCATTGCTCTCAAAGGATCATTCTTGTCCATTAGATTTTTAAAATAGAATTGAGATAGCTTTATTGAGTGAGTAGGAGAGGAGCTAGTAATCTGGAGCATTGGACACTTCAGCAATGTGGCAGAGATTATTAACTGCCTGCAAATATCCATTCTCCCCTTTATCCTCAGCAACAGATCTCCGTTTCATTTGGGGTGGTAAAGGATGCAGCTAAAATGCTACATTTGCCAGCAACCTTTGCAGTCAGGTGTGCCATGTGATAGGTTTTAGCCAGAAAGATGTAAGCAGAGAACTCCTTCAAGGAAAATGACTCATCTTGGAAAGTACCTTTCTTGCCCTTCCTGGCTTTCTCCTTCTGTCAACTGGACTATACACATGATGGCTAGAGCTCCAGCAGTTATCTTGGACTGTAAGGTAACATTAAGGTCAGAAAACATGTTCTGGGATTTGGAAGAGAAAAGTGCAGGGAGCCTGAGTCCCTGTTAACCGTGGAATCACTGACTAGCTCTGGACTGTGTATATCATATTTACCTTGTTTAAACAACTTTTATTCCCCTTATATATGCAGCCAAACCAAATCCTAATTGACATAGCTGTAACTTCCTGTATCTCCTGGTCAAGGGTATTGTAGTAAGTGGCTTTGAATATCAATGGCTACTAGGAGGTAAGGGAGACAACAGTAACAGTATGTAATGATGGCCTAGGGGAGCAGAATTTGCCATCCCCAAGTATGTCTCTTTGAGATATTAATTACTTTCAGCTGGTTATTTTCTAAGAAACGGCAGACGGGGGAAGAAAACTGAAAACCCCACTAGGAGAGACACGCTTTTGTAAGAAACACTTGCATTCATAAGGGAAATCTCCATTTGGAAGGGTAGCGCCCTCACTGTACAGTAGAGTATGTCCAAATCTCTAGAAATTCTTATCAGTGGAGAAGGCAAAGACTTGAATCTGCATAAAAACCTTTACCCTTACTGTGCTTTTCCTCCCCTAGCTGACTGTCCCCACCCTCAACATCCTCTGTTGTCTTTAGCTGAGGGCGGTACTTAAGATGAGGGCTTTGGCCATTTTGGTGAGTTACTCATTTTTCCTGAGTCTCTCCCATGTCTACAGGTTGTTAAACTCTTTGATTTCTCTTCTCAATGTCTCGTGTCAATTTAATTCTCTTGATGTCAGCCAGAAGAACCTAGAAGGGTAGAGGGAAATTTCTTCCTCCCTGACAATGACAAAGAAGCGTGGGGTTCTTTCAAAACATGTCTAAGGCAGCTCTGTTGTAGAAAGAAATGAAAACATTCTTTCTTCTCTCTCTTATTTCTGCCTTGTCAGTCTTTTTCTTCAAGATCTTAGGTTTCAAACTGTTAGTTATTAGTAAGATGCAATACGGGTTTAATAGGATTTGTGAGTTAGCCTAGGATCCTCAGCACACTTTACAAAATAGTTTCTGTGGGAAAATGTATGCTTAGTTTAAAAACCTGTGCTTTTAACTTTAAAAAATGTGTATGTGGATAGCCCAGACTAAATATGACAGTTAATTTATATAGTGTATAGGATTATAAATAAATGCATATCTCATTGCTAATGAACATACCTGTATCTATATTTTTAGGCACCTGTGTTCACATATGCTGCTTATTATGTAGGGTGTCAACTTCTGAGACTTTAGTACACCATAGGGTTTAGGTCTATATTTACAGATTTGTTCTTCATAGAGACTATTTTACAACAAGAAAATAGGGACTCATCATTCCTATCTTTATTCTTCCATAACAGCTTATTTATAACACTGATATGACAATGAATTTCATTATCTACTGTAGTTAATTCTATAGGGGTCTGTTTCCCCTGCTAGGTCATGAGCTCCTAAATGTCCATAGTAATTTACTCATATAGGAAAAATGTTATGTGGTACATGAAGCAGGAATCCTTTCAACAGCTAAAGAGAATCACCTGAAAAAATATATAAATATTTAAGGGCTTTCACTTTACTCCTTTCTCCCCCCTGTTGTTCTGCTAAATCTTAACTGCTTTTATCTAAACGTCATTAGCACCCTAAGTACTGAATGTTTTCTCTATGATAACATTCACCACTGTTTTTACGTCAAATATATTCTTGAACTCTTCATGTGCAACCTGTTAACATCATGTGTGAAACTTAAGAAATCTCCATTAGATATGTGTTGGAAGAAATGTGTATAAGGGATGCGTCTAATGTGTTGTGATTATTTTCTCAAAGTTGTCAGAATTTATATATTCAAATGAATGTTTTTTTCATTTAACGTGAACCACTGCAAAGACTTTAATGATGCTGCCATTGCAGAAAATACTTTTGAAACTATTCTCTTGGAATAGAAAATATTGGATTCTGATTATAGTGTTATAATCATTGAATGTTATAAATTGGATAAGATCTTAGAGTTTCCAAGAATGGATGTGCATCACAATCACTTGGAGAGTCTACAAAAATACAATTCAGGAGTCTAAACTCAGGAGATTTCGAATGAGTACATTTGGGGTGGGACAAAAGAATTTTGTTTTGAATCAGCAAGCTCAGTGACTATACAACTGGTCCTTGGTTGGCAGCCCAACCTTAGAGATTATCAGGCTGACTTCTCATCCAGTGTGTGAATGTCTTATATGATAATTACTAGATGCAGTCACCCTAACCCTACCTAAGGCTTTCCATGAGCTATGTTGTCTCAAGGCCAGGATTAATAGTGGGGAAAGATAGACCGGAAAGACAGGAGGTCTGGATGGCAGGTAGAGACGGGAGGTGAATAAAATGGTTAGAAGGCTATCACAGTAGGACAGACAAGGGATGTTAGGGCAATAATTAAAAGCCACTGTCCTGAGAACATTCAGCTGATAAAGACATTTCAGAACTAGGACTGAAAGAAATGATGAGGTAGACAGACAGCAGAGTCAGGAGAGAGGCTTCTAACCAAGCTGATGGCAGTGCTGTTAACTAAGATGCAGGCTGTTGGAAGAAAAGCGTCACATTTTATAGGAATGATATCTAGTTCCAGTTTGGACATGTTGTGTTTGAAATGTTTATGACGAGTAGAGCAGATGGGAGCAGAAGCTTAGAAGAGATATCAGGGTAGAAGTTACAGCTCTAGGAATCATCTGTTTATAGGTGGAAATAAGAGACATGGAAGTAAATGTAATCAATAAGGAAATTCATGGATATAGATGAGAGCAGAGTCTGGAAGTCTGGTATGACACCGAACTTAAGGAAGGGCAGAGGAAGAGGATATGTCAGGGAAGATATAAGCTAGATCATCTAGAAGGAAGGAAGCGTGTCAGAAGCCAAAGGAAAGTGGTTAATTGGATGGTCCACCGTATCCTCCTCTAACAATGTCACTTCAGTTTTTCTTTCTTTCTTTCTTTGTTTTTAAAAATCCTTACCCAGATATGGGAACATATGTATATGTATAACTGATTCACTCTGTTATAAAGCAGAAACTAACACACCATTGTAAAGCAATTATACCCCAATAAAGATGTTAAAAAAAAATAAAAAAAAATAAAAAAAGTTAAAAATCCTTACCCAAAGAGCTTTCGCAAAGCTTTGAGCTTCAGTTTTCCAGATACCTCTCCTTGTGGCATATCACTCTCTTATATTTCCCCCCTTTACTGCTTTTATTTCTGTTTCCTCTGAACAGGGGGTGGTATCATGAACAAGTTCTATCAAATCTCCGAATATTGAGATACCGCTAACCTTATTATGATATAAGTTTAGATTCTCATTAATTACTATGCCTACTTGGCACTGGTT